ACACATTTTGCCATGAAAATTGAAGGATTAAGACCTATGCAGATGTTTTGTCAGCAAGGATTGTATCAATTAAGTAGAACAGGGTGATTCCACATTTTTCACACCTCCCATCCTGTTCATGGACAATCAATATCTACACATTCCATTGTGATTGGATTAAGGTGTCTGTGCTACATCTGGGGATATAAATGCCAAGTATGTTCCTGACACTCATTGGAACTGAAGAAGTGATTGGTGGGATTGAGGCAGTGTACTTTGGATTTCGGGTGTGCTTTCAAGCCCAACTGAACTTTGAGTTTAAATAACCCGAGAAGGGAAGAATGGGGTGGGGTAACATGTCAGACCTTGGCAAAGAGACCACAGAGACCACTGCTTCTCCACACAGTAAGGGTCTTTCTCTGCAGCATGCTGACAGACAACAGGCTTTTCTACTCAGGCTGTGGCTGCTTTAGAAAGAAAATTAACTGTTGACATTAAAACATTTTGCTTTGATGCACTGTTAGTAACTGTAGCTGATTTAAACTGAGAGATCAATTGGGATTTAAGGGTCCTGCTTGGTCTCAAGTGTGTTTGCCACCACTGCATTGATTCAAGACATTTTGAAGAACCGATATGGATAGCTGTGTTGTTAGCTTAAGTTATAGTTACACTTACACGGAGAAGAAGGCATTCTCTGTTACAAACCCCAAAGAAGGTTTGAGGGTTGAGTGGGTTTCTTTGCGCTCAAGATTAATTTCTCATTTGGTACGAGGACTCTGGTCACTAGAAACAGTAGCTGCACTTTTGCCCAGTTGTCATAATTCAGACTTGTAAGTAACTCTGTGCTGGCAGCCCATACTGCACTGTCATCCTGCACCTCACTAATTACTCTAATTGCTGTCTGAAAGATCACTTAAGCCTGCATTAAATTTCTCCCTCTGGGTTATTGGCTTCCACCTCTGAAATGTGCATCGTTTGTGACCGTGATTTGATTTAAGATGACCTGTGTTCCAGTATTACATGCACTCTGCTGTCCGAGGTACTACAGACAATGCTCTACCACTTAATAATAGTAATGTGCAAGTTTTAGATTCTATTCTTTATCTGAGAAAGTCCAACACTTTTACAAAACATTGCTTTATAATGAAATTGGTGTATATGAATTATATGAATTAATAGGGTAAAGAAGTATCACTATAATATTCCCTGTTACCTAAATCTCTCCAGGGGAAAAAGTGCAAGTAGCACTTGATTAGTTTTGCTTAATACTGTGGTTATTGAGCTATCTGCCCCTGCCCCTTGCTCCACTTCTGTTCGTCCATGCTGCTCAGCAGAAGATGAATTTCTAATGAATTCTGAGTGACGGTGCCCTTACTACTCATGCCGGAGACGGGGCGTGTTGGCGCATCTATCTTGTATATACACTGAGTGGCCAGATTATTATGACCACCCCATCAGTACTTCGTTGGGCCACCTCGTGACTCCACGAGATGTTGAAAGGTGATGCGAGGAATCTGACACGGCACTGTTGCCCTTCTGTTGTCTTGTACCAGTCTTGCCACTCTCCGTTCTGCCCTAACATTGACTAGTCGCCGACGGCCACAATTCGCACGTTCAGACCCAGATTTTCGGCTGACAGTCCGGTCTTTAAACACTTTAACAACAGCTGCTCTTGATAATTTAACAAATTCTGCTGTTTTGCTGATACTCGCTCCATGCTCCGAGCGCCAACAATCATCCCACGTTCAAAGGCTGTTAAATCGTGTTGTTTCCCCGTATCTTCAGAAACAAATCCCTCTACTGTCGTGGTAACCAACCCGCTTCCCTATTTATAATGGTCTGGCCCTCTAGCAACTTCAGCGCCAAATTATAGCTAATTTGCCTACAAGCGTCAGGTGGTCATAATAAACTGGCCACTCAGTGTACAGTATCTGGGAACTCAGCGCAGAAATGTCACCAATAAGTCCCTCAAGAGATATACCAGGCATCTTTCAAAACATGGAAATCTCAATTTTGGAAAGACATAACTTCTAAAAGCCAGGAATGGGGGCAGTTCCACTGACAGGACTGCTGTGTAAAGATGATTATTTTCTGGAAGTCTTTTCCTCTTTTTGTAGGTATTTTTGGAATCCTAGTCATCTTTTAAGGACATGACAAAGTCAATTTAAGTTTTTTTAGTCTCCACTGAAATATGTCTTTTGACTTTCATCTGTGTTTCCCAGCTGCCTAGTTCATCTGAAGCCTCAGAGTTTCCAAGGCTTCATAAGGCGTTTTACCATTATAACTGTATGTGGCTGTGGTGGATGAACACGACTACACTCCTGTACAGCGTATGCCCTTTCTGTGACATTATGATGCCAGACCTGCCAAGTAGGATCATTATATTTGGAAGGGGGTAGGACAGAGGTGTCGGTGTTGGGGAACTCGGGATGCTACATTAAATAACACACATCAGTGATGAACGCATGGCGCGTAAAGAAATTGGAACATCGCTATGAGGAAAAACTCACAGTGTGGTACTACATGACATTAGCTAGCAACATTTCAACAGGAAATATGATGTAGCAACTTGTATGGGGAAAATTAAAGCTGAACTCCAGGCAGATATCAAAGACCCGAATCATTAACAGATCATTGTCTAGTTGTGGGCATTGAGTGTGCGAGATATGGTCCGTACAAAATCCATTACAGTACACATGGCGTACATAGCTTTTTTTTTACCTCCGCTGCCACTTCCGTGCCATATTTGCCAGCAATTCCCGGGTGTCAAAACAACAACTGTGTTATACAGCAGCTTTACAGCTACTGCTGTCAGAAAACAGACCATCTCAACAGTGTTTATAAAACCGCTCAGACTCAAGATAGAGAGTAAAAAGTAACATGGTTACTTTGTGTTTCCTGTGTTCCATATATCTTCAGAATAAAGAGATGACCTTTTGATCTGCATATCATGTCAGGTAAAGTAACTCCAAAAGTAAAAATAAATAAGATTTGTTCTTATTTATAGACCCACTAATGTCACCCCTGCACTCTGTTTAAGCCAGTCGAGCACAGCGCATTCATTTTTTACCGTGCCCAGAGCAGCCGGAGATTGACTTCTCAGAACCCAGAAGTGCTCAGAGCTGAACGCTTCCATGTTCAGCCTTCACAGGGATGTTTAGCACACAGATGTTCACCGATCTTCAATCACTCTCTATCCTGACACCCTCCACCGAGGTCCCGGCACCCAGGAGGGACAAGTAATCCTGGGACATATGGCGGGTGGGCAGCACATTATTGTACATGAGGAAATGATCAAGTGACATTACGGCTGCCCAAATCACTTCTACAAGGAGGCCGATTTTAATGTAAAAAAGATAGACGAACTCCCGGCTGCTATGTATGTTAGGATGTTGGTGCTGCTGGAGACATCTTACCTTATCCCTCATCCAGAGCTCTTCTCTGCTCCCGCTCCAACCCTGGCATGTAAACAGGCCCTCGATGTCCACATGTACAATGCCGGACTGCTGATCCTGCACCGTACGTGAGAGGAGTGGGTTTGGGGGGACCATTTGTCCAGCAAGGAGGAAGCAAGATTTTTATCAGCTGACCAGAGTTCAGCTTTAGGGTAAAAAACATTTACCTAAATTGGGGGTCTTAAGTACATACATTTGACTTACGATTCCGATGGACTTCAGCTTTAACTTACTATTGTTTTTTTTTTCTTTACACCTCCATCCATTACGTGTTTTCTGGTGAGTAACTGTAACAAACAGGATCTGCAAATAGCAACATCCTATAAAAAATTCATGTCATTTTGTCAGCACCTCCCTTGTTAGAGCAGATGGACACAGTCACTGAACTGCCTGTCAGGGTATTTTTTTCAGCAATCATCATTTTCCAAATATATGTTTGTTTTGCTGTGTTTGTGCCTGAGTGGAATTCTTTATGTTACTAAGCAGAGGGTAAATTAAACGATGTATTTATAATACTTCCTGCCAGAGGACATATTTTCTGTATTTTGGAGGTGGGGGGAGCTGACATTTACATAACTGGTTTCCATACTGAAATTCTGCATAAAGTTGTTCATTGTGAGAATGTGATCAAAAACAAATCGGCAGATAAGAAGCTGACGTTATTAATTACTCTATACTTTTGCCGCAAGAGCCAAGCTTAGCCTTCCTGTCTCCTAAACCACATCATTAAGGCCGAGCTCATCTGAACCCGGAAGGAAGTAGACAGTACTGCAACATTTGGCATTCCTTCTCCCGCAGCTGCACATAAACAAAGGGGGTTGCAGGTGACATCATAGACCTTTAAAAGGCCATATTAGGTTAATGCCTTTGAACAAATATGGCCATCTGGCTATATAAGGTCAGTGATGTCTTCAGCATCCCTCCCCTTTCCATGCCCCTTAGCTGATACGGTGTTCTATCGAAAGTTCCAACTCGTTGAGATCTCCAACGACCTGACTTCCGGTTTAGTTAGAAGTAAGAGGTTTGGTGGAGAAGGATGTAGTGCACGTGCGCCACCCTTGCCATTTCCCTATACACGTACTACACAGCAATAAAGTAGAATAATGAACTAGGGTCAGGCTAATGCAGGATGTTATTCATCTGAGTTGCCCCACTCAGTATTGCCGCCGCTTGTGGCTTCCTTCCAGTTTCGGGTGAGCTCGGGTTCAGTTTGAACCCGAGCTCATCCCTACTCGTTTTTTGCCTTTAATTTAATATGCAGTTTCCTTAACCAATAGAAACATTGTGAAGGTAGGCAGGGGCAGGGCCAAGTTCGACTATTACAGGAAAAGTCAAGATTCCCGTAAAATTTTAGTTTCTTGTATTTTTGTATCTTCTTGTTATTTGGCAAATTTCACTTAAGGGAACCTGTGCCGATGCACACTTCCATCCCAGGCTTGCGTTGAGCTGCCCAGCTTTGTGACAGGTTTGCTTCTAAATTGCATTTCTTTGACAGATCTTTTATTTTCTTGATGCGTTACCTTTTCTATATATACTGAAGTCACTGGCCTGTCTTTTATTTCCTAGAATTATGCTGCGGTGCTTTGGGAACAAGCCAAGTCCAGTCTCCATAATCCAGAGACAAAAGGGATGCAGTACGGAGCCAGCCTGTCAGAAGAAAAACTTGATTTATTAAATGCAGAGCAGATCGGACAGTTACACGAACTCATGCAGGAGGCCACTAAACCAAAGCGACAGTTTGAGGTGGCTGAAGATTCTGGACAGAAGACATAGACTGCACGGAAGAAAAACTTCTACTCTGCAAAATGATTTTTTTTGTGTGTTCATTATTAAAGATAATTGCTGGAATTCACAGAAAATGAATGGTGCCAGACCGCTGATTTCAGCAAAAGTCTTCCCATAAGATGATATGTGCATTTAATGTATTGTAGACATGTTATTTACCTGTAACAGCCTCCCTTCTGTTGACATACAAAACGACTAAGAAGGCTGCTTGGGAGGGGGCTGTGCTAGCCAATTGACTAGTCAGATTTTCAAAAATATTTAAAAAAAATTATCAAAGCACATTTCAAATAAAAAAACTCATTTATTCTGTTTTCCAACTTTCTCCTCAACTCCTCCCATGCTCGCCTCCAGGACTTTTCTAGAGTCTCTCCCATCCACTGGAACTCTTTACCCCAACCTGTCTGTCTATCTCCCACTCTGACTGCCTTTAGGCGATCCCTTAAGACTCATCTCTTCAGGGAAGCCTATCCGTATAACTTCACTTCAGATCGGTCATTCACTCGGCTGCCCTCAGCAGCTTAGTGAATAGACCCCGATGGTTTAAAAGCCTATGCAAGCCATCAACTTACAACATGGTTACCATAAATGATGGCCCTAGAAGTTTTTCTCTCATTCCAGGTGTGTTCAGCCATACCCAACATGTGTTGCATGGTTGTTTATATACACGTGTGCATTTAAATTTTTTTTTTTTTTTTACATTATTTTTTTACTGATAAGCCCCCTATGTAATAACACATTTTACTTTTTTGAGTGACAGGTACTTTTTATGGAGACATCAGGGATCTTCTGATGCCACCCCTGCACTCAAGCAACGCTGCTAGAGGGCATAGCATCCTTGATTGCTGTTTTACCCGGCTCTCCGTGCCAAGAGTTGATGGACCTGAACCTGGGAGTGCTGGAAACTGAGCGTTTCCAGGTTCATACTTCACAGGAGAGATGGAGGAGAAGCACCCTACAAGCGATCAGATGGATGTTCTGGAAAAGTAAACAAACTCATGGCTGCTGTTATGGGCATGAGTTCATTTACATACTGCTACTGCCACTGATGCAGTAGAAGGGTTAAACACAGCTCGCATGTTGAGTTGACACGTAGGTAAACTCAAGTGCATTTTGTTTGCGTAAACATGCGCTAAAGTGGTCTGAATCCAGCTTGAAATAAAAATGGTTCTTCCAGTTTAGTGAAATTGTTACTTTTGGCATCCAATTCACAACTAATTGGATGTCTTCCTTCATCTCGTAGCCCCCTGATTGGCCGCTGTTAATATCGGCTTCACATTGATTTGTTCCAACTAACAGAATTTAATGTTGAGGCAAAAAGAGTTCTTGGAAAAAAATATAACTTGACTTATTCTTCCATTGTTGGGTATAACGCACATGTCAAAATAATCCTAATAATGACGCAGAGCCATATTGTCACATTACAGATCATTTCCCCCTTTTAGATAAGATGTAACGTTCTCTGCTCATGGACGTCTTTCTCCGCTGCCCTGCTGACAACCGCTGTCATGGTTTTACAGACTGTGCAGGAAGCTTGTCATTGACAGTAATATCTTCTACTTGAAATCAGCTTAACAAATTAGAGGAAAATGTTTATATTTGCACAGATGTGCGCTGAAGGAGGCATGCATGGCGACATATGAATGATGCGTAAATTGATGGCGTTCTATAAATAACTGTAATAATAGATAATAAAAACTTTATTTTTAGAGTAGGGAGAGTATTGATAGTAGACGGGGAGCTATCACTTTGTCTGAGCATACCTGGAAGAAGAAACTGGCGACGTACACTGTACGTCGTCAGTCACGAAGGAGTTAAACAGTTACAAACAACACAGCAATGAGCAACTGTTAAACATATACATTGTAGTCACAGCTATGGAACACACAACATAGCTTATGGAGCAGCGGCTCTCAACCTTTCTAGGGCCGGGACCCCTTGGTAACATTTGCCAAGTTGTGGTGACCCGCAACAGAGCACTGGACTCAGGACTTAGTAATGTTCAGGACTTCGTAAGGTACTGGACTCAGGATTTAGTATTGCACTGGACTCAAGACTTAGTAATGTGCAGGACTTAGTAAGGTACTGGACTCAGGACTTAGTAAGGTACTGGACTCAGGACTTAGTAATGTTCAGGACTTAGTAAGGTACTGGACTCAGGACTTAGTAAGGTACTGGACTCAGGACTTAGTAAGGTACTGGACTCAGGACTTAGTAAGGTACTGGACTCAGGACTTAGTAAGGCACTGGACTCAGGACTTAGTAAGGCACTGGACTTAGGACATAGCAACACACTGGACTTAGAAATAAAAATGGAAGCACACTCACAAGAATACAAGCCCTCCCCTGCTACCTGCTTGCCTGCTCTGTCTCCATGCAGCCTTCTCAGCCCCAGCACTGCTAAGGTGTGAACTAGCCCGAAGTGGTCAATCGCTACAACTGGCAGGAAAGTCTAGAGGGGTAGTGCTGAGGAGCTGGGGCATTATGGGCCACCTCCACAAATTATACATTTAAAGCTGGGGCTGCCTTGAAGCAACATGTCTGACGGCCCCAGCAGCACTCGGTACATATGAGCAGGGCATGCACTACTTATTTGTACTAAAGAAGGGGGTGGCAAGCACTGCCAACATGCTCCTCTGCCTTCTGCCCCCTGAATGAGGCAAACGTTTCAGGTTGTCTCACTATAAGGATAATGTGCAGAGGTAAGATGCGGACCAGTATGGGGTGGAGGGCTAGAGGTTAGCTATGTATGATAGGTACAGAGGTAAAATGTGTATGGTGGGGGAGCAGAGGTGACCTGTAGATGAGGGATGCAGAGGTGAGCTATGGATGAGGGGTACAGAGGGGAGCTGTGAGGGATTGAGAGGTGGATGGGGTGGAGGTGAACTATGGATGAGGGGTACAGAGGTGAGCAGTGGGGGGTGCAGAGGTAAGCTGGGGATGGGGTGGCGTGAAAGGGGTTAGGTGAGCTATGGATGGGGGGTACAGAGGAGGGGGGGTGCAAAGGTGAGCTATGGATGAGGGGGAATGCATAGGTGAGCTTTGGATGTGTATGGGTTTTGTTTTTTTTTTACAAATGATAGCACTGCGATTTGTATGTGTCTGTTAGTCTGGCTTGTGGCACAGGACTTATAGCATATTTTGTGGGTACAAGGACTGCGGCATATGTTACCGTGTACAAAGTGAGTACATTCAAGTTTGAAGCCCCTCCCACTGCACAAATTTCCCACACCACAATTCACCCACAATGCATTTTATCCATCCTTTCTCAGGCTGTTTTTCCTTTTCTCCTGATAATCCTTCCAGTAACACCCTTCCAGTCCTAGGGTGACAGCATTCATCTACTGTACTGTATCTATGGAGGATCAGCATTGTCACCCTAGTGTAGGGAGTGTTAGGAATACAGAACACCTCCCTCCCTCTCTCTTCTTCTACATAAAATAGTGTGTAGGTGTTTTATAGTATATAGAGGTAATGTGGGCAGGGCTCATAATCCTGCAATAAAGTCCAATAGTTTCAGTTGGATATTTAACAGACTAAGGCTGCCCATACACCCTGCGATCATCCGACGACACTTTTCGTCCGATGATCAGACCGTCATACGATTTTCGTACGACGGCCCCATCCTGTGCCGATTATCGCAGGGTTGGATCCGCTGTAATTAGAAGAAAGCACCTGGACGAATTGCGGTAATCAACCGCATGTATTTTCGTCTGCGCATGTGCAGCGTAAATCGTACGGAAATGCCACCAACCTTGCGAAAATCGTACGATCGACCAAAGTTTTCTAACCTGCTGGTTAGTCAAAAGTCGATCGATTGTACAGTATTTGCGGTTGTACACTGCCCATCAATCTAGGACAAAAACGCGATCGCATACAAAAATCGGCCGATATTCGTAAGGTATATGGGCACCTTAAGGCATCATGCACACGGCCTAAATAAAATATTGATTGTCCACGCAGGATCTGGCAGATGTTTGCCTCAAAATCCTGCATAAAAAACACATGACTTTGTCCATAATATGCTCTCATTGATACACATATAGACTGTACATTGTATAGATGCATAAAATGCGTCCACATCCATGTGCATGAGCCATAATTAAAAGGGATCAAATAAGAGAAGTTCGTAGTTGGTGTTTACATAGACTTTAGGGTCCCAGAATTCATTACTTTCTGCTCGATATCAGTTCCTCTTCACCGCCCAGGAAGCTGCAAATTGCCTTCTACCGATAAAAACGATCATATCTCCATATTTTAATGCAAGATTGAAATGTTGGATTCGTTCGGCCGGATGAGACTGTATAATCACATAATTATTTCCACGTCTAAAAGCATCTGCCATTAAAGTATTTAGTGGACAGGGAATCAATATCATTAATCCTCTTAATTACACCAGCTTGAGATTCGTTCATTTGCATGTCAATTGGACCTGCTTTCCGAAATGGCACAAAGCAGAGATAATCGTTTCATTGTGAGATGGGGAACAAGAGAAGGATTTTACTGGGTTAAAAGTATTGTAACAATTACATGTCAAATTTCATTGTCGTTGTTTTACTTGTATCTGGATATACAATGTCTATAAAAAAGAAAAGAAAAATGCTAATTTTTTTTCTTAATTTACTAAACTGCCCTTATTAGTGATGTTCAGATACCCAGTACCGTACTCGGTACAAGTACACGTACAGATACTTTTCAAGCTCCAAGACTGGACTAAAGAAAAATTCAAAAGTTAGGAGGCAGCTGTCATGTGTAAGGAGCACACGGAGCTCCTGGGATTTGTACATCTCTGTTTTATTGAATGATTTTGTTTTTATAAACATACAGTATATAAAGGGATGCACCGATACCAGTTTTTTGCGAGTACAAGTACTGATACATTTTTGTATATTGTCATGTGATAGTTTTTCTAAAACAATACAGACTAATGATTTCAGAATAGTGGTGGAGCGCCAGAGCCCGGTCCCAGCTGCAACCGCTGCAACCCTGGGAGTTCTCGTTGAAATGCCAAGTATTGGCACTGGTATCTGAACATCTCTACTCCTTATATAGGCGATATGTTTAGGACTGGCCTTAGAAAGTCAATGAAAGTTAATCATTCTGAATTCAAAAGTATGCTGGGCATATTCTCACATTATGCCAAATGCTGGCTGCCCCCCATTACAGTTTAATTCCACTTAAAAAAAAACATGCATAGTTACATATAGTTACATAGTATTTGAGGTTAAATAAAGACACAGGTCCATCAAGTTCAACCTTTGTGTGTGTGTGTGTGTGTGTGTGTGTGTACACGAGTCCCTGTGTGGTCTTAGTTTTTAAGTGTACCTGTACCCCTGTATGTTACGGTCTCTGAGGACAGTATCTAATTGATTTTTGAATCAAGGTTCATTTTAAAGTAGGGCTGGTAATGATTAAAATTTTCGGGTTCGATTAATCGAAATTTTTTTAAATCGATTAATTTCGATTAATTATAACGCACATACAGATCCAACTACATTGGCCTATACACATACAGCACAGCAATGAAGTAATAAAATGAACTAGGATCACACTAATCCAGCACGTTATTAATCTCACGTGCCCCACTCAATATGGCCGCCGCTTGAGTGGGGCAACTCAGAATAATAACGTGCTGGATTAGTGTGATCCTAGTTCATTTTATTACTTCATTGCTGAGCTGTATGTGTATAGGCCAATGCCTTGGCTGGCGCTCATGCAGAAAGTTTCTTGGGCAAACTCACCAGCCCAAGTGGCTCCGTCGGCTAACGAAGGGGGGAGGAGTCCGGTGACGTCACAGACATCAACGTCACTAGACTCCTCTCCCCTTTGTTAGCCGTCACGGACATTGACGTCACCGGACTCCTCCCACCTTCCCTTCGTTAGCCGACGGAGCCACTTGGGGAAGGGGGAGGAGCCCGGTGACGTCGATGTCCGTGACGTCACCGGATCGCCGACGGGACTCCCGGAAGCTGGCGGAGAGGGGAGTGTTTTCATTAGCGATCAAAATTATTTTAATCGATCAAAAAGTTTAACGATTAATCGACAAATTAATCTTTAATTTCCACAGCCCTACTTTAAAGAGTCAACGACAAGTGGGGATTACATTGGGCTGGGTAATCTGGAGGTTTTGGGGATTAATCTTGGAATTGGAAGGGGATGGAATGGAGATAAGAACTGCCCGGTCTGACGTTCGTAATCATTATTTAATATATTAGAGATGATGTAACTAGAAATATTTGAGTAGTGGGATGTATCCCGATCACCATCCTGATATCCAAATTCTATGTGTCTCTTGTAGTAAGGTTTGATATTGACTTGAATGCTGTGAAATGTTATGTCATATCTATGTGTAGGTTAAATTATTAAAAATTGATCAACAAAAACATTAAAGTCAACCAAGTTGGATTTTGACTGGGAAGGCCCTGCTGGTCATGCAGTGGTGGTGGTGAGGCATATGGGTATGTTCCAGTTTCCCTTTAAAACCTCAAAAGTATTTTTAACGAATCAGTTTAGGAGACCCAGAAGATGTTCAGTCTCCTTCTGTACAAACAGTTTTTTTCCATTTCCCAACACGATAATTGACATTCAAGATCTAAGTCAGCCTTTCTTAACTTGGGGTGCCTTGAAATTTGTGCACGGTGTCATTCCTTTCCATGGCGCAGCAGGCCAACCACCAACACCATGGAAATGGTTAATCCAGGGAGGGTGGGATCCATCCAGAAAAGGATGGAAGTTCATCTCCAGGCATCCAGGCTTACTGTGCCTCCCACCCTTTGCCATGCTGCCACAGCTGTAGCTCCCACTTTAATGGTAGGACTCTGATGTGAAGGAGGGGGGACTCAAGACTCTGATGTGAGGGCTCTTGATAAGAACGAAACAGCAGAAAATGTTCAGCGCTGTCAGAACTGGCAAGGGTGGTATGGAAATTGGTAAATTAGTAGGTTTTGTTTTGTACTTGATAAGAATGGGGAATTCTAATGTGACAGGGGGACTCCAATATGAAAGAGGAGCTGACGTTATGAAAGGAGGCTCCTATTGTGAGAGCCTCTGATGTAAAAGCCTCTGATGTAAAAGTAGGGGGGCTCTTGATGTATTTGCATGTGGTTCCCCCTTAAATCCATATCAGACTCCTATCTGGGACAAGGGTCTGGCATGGATTTTGTTTTTGTATTTTATACCTACACACTTAGGTATTTTACATTTTAGACTGGGGTGCCTCGAGATGTTGCCTACTCAGTCAAGGGGTGCCTTGACTGAAAAAAGGTTGAGAGACGCTGACCTAAGTATTCTGGAAATAGTGCTACCAACATGTAGCCAATAATTGGACTCATCTTAGTATTTCTCAGACTTATGCTTTAGCTTTGGGATAGGCGGAGGCGGTTTGATGAATTAAATCTTGAACCCCCTTTTTTTTTTCTTTTTTGATCAAAGCGATGAAATCCCGCTCCACCTGATTTCAATGGAATATATAACAACCCCAAAGCAGATTAAATGGAATAGCACATGATCAATTTTTTTTTTTCTGTAAACCAATAGCAGTTTATCAATTGATTTTTCTTATTGCTCGAGTTGCTGGGTAAGAGCACCAATATTTTAGCAAAAGAGTTAAATCATTAATATTGAGCTGGAAGGTTCAGATAATTCTTTGTTCTCAGCGCTCTGGATGGGAGTAGGTGGGACACATACTGGTAACTGGTTCTCAAGAGTTTTTCCCCCCTCTATGTAGAATACAGACCTGTGCAATCTTTCTAAAGGATTGACTCTTCTTTTGAAGTCACACGGTTCTGCCTGCAGTACTGCCTCTGGTCCTTTATACATCCTTTGAGATCAATGCGTTTTATAATCCCTGTTTCAGTTCATTGAAATCTATGTTGGACTAGTCTGAGGTGATGCTAATATTTGGTGATGTGAAATGTATACTTAATGTGTAACTTCAGCCAAAACATGTTTCTTAGCTATAAATATGGTAGGGAAGAAAGAAAACCTTACTTTACTTCTGTGTCTCAATTGTGAAGATTTTCATTCACTTCCTTTCCCTTTGACCGTAGTCACTTGGACAGGAAGTGAGGATAGTCCTCTTCAGCAGTGATTTTTTAAAAAAAATCATGTAAGAGTCCAGAGTAATATTTTTCTTTATAATAATTTCTATGTACTAATTATCACATGCAATTTTGGAAATATTATTTTTTTATTGAATAGACTAGATATTGATTTATATATATATGTATATGTGTGTGTGTTTCTAGCCCTGTAGAAGGTGGAGTTCGTACAACCCCCTAAACCCCGGAGATGGTTGTGCGTAGAAATCCCAGTAGATCAGCAGTTTTTGAAATACTCAGACCAGCCCGCCTAGCACCAACAACCATGCCATGTTCAAAGTCACTTAAATCCCCTTTCTGCCCCATTCTGATGCTCAGTTTGAACTTCAGCAAGTCGTCTTCACCACTTCTAGGTGCCTAAATGCACTGAGTTGCTGCCATGTGATTGGCTGATTAGATATTTGTGTTACCAAGCAATTGAGCAGGTGTACCTAATACAGTGGCCGGCGAGTGTATATCTGCTATATTCTTTCTTTAAAGATATTTTCATTTTTATATTTCTAAAGTGGAGTTATTCTGTAACTAATGGCATGATGTTATAGCTCAACCAATAGGCCCATAGCAGAAATGTAAAAAGGCTCCGCCCCATGGGGGGTGCACAGGTGTGAGAGCTGAAGTAGGACCCAGATCCATTACCGTCTCACTGCAAAGCTTCCGAATCAGAGATTTCAGATGATGTTTGAGCTCTTCGAAAAGAAGAAAAAAAAAGTTAGATAATTGTTTTTTTTATACTGGCTTGTAACCATATTGAACAATATGTTCCCTGTAACTCCAAAGCCTGAGATTAAAGTCTGGATAAGAAACAAAAGCACTATTTTTCAAAAAAACAAACAAGTGCCATATGGCAACTAGGAAGCCGGCATTGTGTTTAGTTTGGGAGAAAAACGAACAGACAAAAGGAAATGGGGGCCGAGCTGTACAATGATAACCTTTCCTTTCATCTCCTGCAGCAGTATTTGCATGGCCATGCTAAAGAGGTCCTGTCGTGTAAAATTGTAACATTAAGTCCTCGTTCACACGGGCATGTACTAACGTATGGTGCTCCTGGGAGGGACAGGTGCTGCGTGTAATTGCGTCAGAACAAAATGAGCAGTTAACACTTGCAGTGGCGGGGGGGGGGGGGGGGGGGGGATTGTTACGGAATCACACTGCGGGTGGGGGGGGGGGGGGGGGGGCGTCATCTTTTACATGCCCGGAGGTCAGAGGCGTAACTAGTGACCTCAGGGCCCGATGCAAGAATCCATGAAGGCCCCCCCCAAAAAAAACATTAGATAGATTTATTTTAAAAAACAAAATAAATGTATCACGTCCCCAGCTTTCTGCTTCCGGACCCAACACTTTCCTCTTCCATGTCCCCAGCTTCCCCTCATCTCCCCCTTCATATCCCCAGCTTTCCGCTCCCGGACCCCCACACTCTCCTCTTCCATATCCCCAGCTTCCCCTCATCTCCCCCTTCATATCCCCAGCTTTCCGCTCCCGGACCCCCACACTCTCCTCTTCCATATCCCCAGCTTCCCCTCATCTCCCCCTTCATATCCCCAGCTTTCCGCTCCCGGACCCCCACACTCTCCTCTTCCATATCCCCAGCTTCCCCTCATCTCCCCCTTCATATCCCCAGCTTTCCGCTCCCGGACCCCCACACTCTCCTCTTCCATATCCCCAGCTTCCCCTCATCTCCCCCTTCATATCCCCAGCTTTCCGCTCCCGGACCCCCACACTCTCCTCTTCCATATCCCCAGCTTCCCCTCATCTCCCCCTTCATATCCCCAGCTTTCCGCTCCCGGACCCCCACACTCTCCTCTTCCATATCCCCAGCTTCCCCTCATCTCCCCCTTCATATCCCCAGCTTTCCGCTCCCGGACCCCCACACTCTCCTCTTCCATATCCCCAGCTTCCCCTCATCTCCCCCTTCATATCCCCAGCTTTCCGCTCCCGGACCCCCACACTCTCCTCTTCCATATCCCCAGCTTCCCCTCATCTCCCCCTTCATATCCCCAGCTTTCCGCTCCCGGACCCCCACACTCTCCTCTTCCATATCCCCAGCTTCCCCTCATCTCCCCCTTCATATCCCCAGCTTTCCGCTCCCGGACCCCCACACTCTCCTCTTCCATATCCCCAGCTTCCCCTCATCTCCCCCTTCATATCCCCAGCTTTCCGCTCCCGGACCCCCACACTCTCCTCTTCCATATCCCCAGCTTCCCCTCATCTCCCCCTTCATATCCCCAGCTTTCCGCTCCCGGACCCCCACACTCTCCTCTTCCATATCCCCAGCTTTCTGCTCCCCTTCATATTCCCAGCTCTCTATAGCTCCCCCTTCGTGTCCGCAGCAGGCCTCTCTTACTGATGTAGCTCTCTATTCGGCAGCGTTCTGTGTGATGGGGGGGCGGGGATAACCCGCTTCCCACTCATTGGCTGCTGCACCGGCTGGATCATACTGCGCCCCGGAACAAGGTGAGGGGAGCAGCGTGAAGCACGTAGGGCCCAGGACAGGAGGAAGAGGTCCCGGTACTGACATTAGCGGTTACCGGGATATTAAATATCCTGGTAATCAGCTGTTACCAGGGGCCCCTTCCTCCTGTCCTGGGCCCCCTCCAAGTGGCGGAACTCCAGTGCCCGGTCGCAGCTGCGACCTCTGTGACCCTGGTAGTTCCGCCACTGCTGGAGGTGTCATGTTACACATGCTTTGTGATATGCCTTTAAGATGATTTGTGTTTTATCTGTCTCTGGTATATTGTATATCTTCACCCCTCTCCATAGTTCAGTCTTCCTCTGTGTACATGGCTCCGCCCTTCTTCATTATGTTCCAGTCTCCATCTCAGCCCCTTGTCCTTTGCTGAGTGGATCACATTATGATCTTTTGACCTATTCTGTGTTCGCTGTTGTAAAGATCTGCACAGTTTGGATTAAACTTCAAGGTGTCATATGGATTGAATCACTGTCTGCCAAATTTACTGCGATTGTGAGTTACTGCCGTCTCGCCACAACTGAAAGTTACAGAGAGCAAACTTGCAATGCCTAGAATGGGGAGGCAGAACAGGAGTTGTTATTTAAGCTGCGGTGCTGATGTGCTAACAAAGGAACATGCTGATGGAAGGACAAAGCAGAGTGACAGGGAACTTAGCTCATCAGTCTGCTGCTTCTCCTTCACTGCTCCGGCACAGGCTGTGGGAGGGACAAGACCTGGGAGTGTTGCATAACTGCAGCAGAGAAAAATCAGGTCTCCTGCTCTACCAGACAGGGCTGTGCCGTCTTGCGGAGCTGTGTATCTCAGAGCTGGATGGACAGAAATTAATGTCCTTTAACAGCTCCTGTATCTTAATTTTTATCTGTTTATTTAGCTGTGTGCCCAGAGTTCAGCTGTGAATTTAGGGTTACACTTTGTTTAGACGTGCAGCAGGCTCCACCACCCTCTGATAAGCAATCCGCGATGGAACGTTTTTTACAGGACGGTGGAGCAGCAGCTGTCTGGCGTTCAGGAGGCAGCAGTGCGCATTTTTGTTTAATGGAGAACTATGAGGCGAGTGAAAAACCACTCAGCCTCATAGTTCTAGCCGACCTGTGACAATGAGACTGTCACAGGTCGGCTCAATAGATCGGGAAATGAGCGAACACATACCGTCGCTCGATCACTTCTCGTTCCTGCCCCTGCAGAGAGCCGTGACTGTCACTCGCGGCTCCCTGCAGGGATTCCCCCCTCCCCACTCCGATCCCCCAGTGCTGACTGGTGGAACGGACGGGGGAGGGGGCGGGTACAGCTGGCTCTGCCTCTAGATAGGCAGAGCCAGCTGTCACTCACGCAGCTGGGTGGATCCAGACATAATTGTCGGGATCCGCTCCGGCTGCGGCATCTCAGTATATAGTGAGCTGTAGCTCGCGGTATACTGAGCTTTGGGTGACGGGAGGACGCTAGTTTGTGTCCTCCCGTTACCCTTAGGAGAACTATGAGGAAAAGCCCTAACACCACAGTTCTCCTTTAACCCCAAGGGGGGATTTTTCATTAAACGTTTTTATTTTTAATAATGCTGCAACTACGCTTTGCACGCTGTTGTGTTGCGGTCCCATTCACCTCCATGGCCGCGTTTGTCAGGTGCCAAATGTGACTTACTGTTTAATGTTTGCCATGGCAGTGTATACAGCACTGTCCGCACACAATGCCAACATTGCAGGGGGCCGGGGGAGTGGTAAAACCGCAAATTGACCGCCTGATTTTACCGCCTTCAGCCCCCCGATTTAAACAAGACACACTGAGGGGAATTTATCAAAACTGGAGCAGACACAATCTGGAGCAGCTGTGCATATCAACCAATCAGCATCCACCTTTCATTTTCAAATCTTAACTGAACAAACTGAAGAGAAAAGCTGATTGGTTGCCATGCACAGCTGCTCCAGATTTTGTCTGCTCCAGTTTTGATAAATCCCCCCCTCTGTATATCAGACAGAGAACAGTGCTAGAATTATGGTATCCGCATGCAGAGAAATTTCACTGCCCCATACAACACCAAGCCTTCAGCGTGTATGGAGATGCGAGCCCTCCACCCACCAACACAATAGCCAAAACAGAGAAGCCGCCCATCGGAGTTCACCAGCAACAACAAATGTTTAATCCACAAGGCAAAGAGTATCCAGTTCATTGAGACTCCCTGTCTAAAGGGCATCTGCTGTAATGCATTTCACCTGTTACGGGATTAAGCTCTTAGCAGGTGAAATGTGTCACTGCCATCCAGTTCTGAAATGCACAGCTCTGCAAGATAGCACAGCCCTGTCTGGTAGAGCAGGAGACCTGATTTTTCTCTTCTGCAGTTATGCAACACTTACAGGTCTTGTCCCTATCCCAGCCTGTGATTGGACAGTGAAGGAGAAGCAGCAGACTGATGAGATAATTTCCCTGTCACCCTGCTCTGGCCTTCTATTGGCATGTACCCTGTCACTCTGCTCTGTACTTATATCAGCAAGTTCTTTGTTGGCACATCAGTGTTTTTATGCATTTCACCTAATACAGGCTTAAAGTGGACCTTTATCCATATCTTTAAAATGACCAGCTTTGTATTCTTTGCATTCCTTATTTCTCTTTTCGTCCCCAGTCTTCTGACAGTGGCCATGTTTACTAAGGGCAGATTACTAGCTCTCCTTTTACTTCCTAGAACTCTGGCACATGTGACTAGGACATGTGATCATGCTCATCATCTCAGGGGAGGAAAATGCCTTTCCCTGAGATCTCGTGAGATTACAGATGAGATTTCCCAGCAATGCTCTGCTGATGACAAGCCAATCCCAGGGTGCATTGCTTTGCCAAACTGAAGTAATTTTTGCCCTTCCAAAGCAGGAAGTGAACGCTCTGCAGTGTAAGTATTTCACAATCACAGCATTTTACACCTGTCATGTCTATGTTATCATTAATCACCATACATAGAGGAATGCATTGATAGAATTGTATTTTTGAGCGTAAAGGTCCGCTTTAAACGTTGATTAAGCCCTTAACGGGTGAAATAAGTTAGCACGGGTGCCTTCTAGATAGGGAGTTTCAATGAACTGGATATTCTTTGCTTTGTGGATTGAACATGTGTTGTTGCTGGTGGACACCGGTGTGTGGCTTCTTTCTTTGGACTATAGTGACAGAATGTTCCTTTAATTGTTTAAATACATGGCTGAACTAAATTGTTTGTTTTAATATACTCACCGGCCAGATTATTAGGTACACCTTCCTAGTACCGGGTTGGACCCCCTTTTGTCTTCAGAACTGCCTTCATTCTTCGTGACATAGATTCAACAAGGTGCTGGAAACATTCCTCAGAGATTTTGGTCCATACTGACATGATAGCATCACAGGCCCAAAGTGCGCCAAGAAAATATCCCCCACACCATTACACCACCACCAGCCTGAGCCATTGATACAAGGCAGGATGGATCCATGCTTTGTTGTTGTTTATGCCAAATTCTGACCCAACCATCTGAATGTCGCAGCTGAAATTGAGATTCATAAGACCCGGCAATGTTTCTCCAATTTATTGTCCAATTTTGGTAAGCCTGTGCGAATTGTAGCCTCCGTTTCCTGTTCTTGGCTGACAGGAGTGGGACTCGGTGTTGTCTTCTGCTGCTGTAGCCCATCTGCTTCAAGGTTCAGTGTGTTGTGCGTTCAGAGATGGTATTCTGCATACTTCGGATGTAACGAGTGGTTATTTCAGTTACTGTTGCCTCATCTCCAACCAGTCTGCCCATTCTCCTCTGACATCAACAAGGCATTTTCGTCCACACAACTGCTGCTCACTGGATATTTTCTCTTTTCTGGACCATTCTCTGTAAACCCCGGAGATGGTTGTGCGTAGAAATCCCAGTAGATCAGCAGTTTCTGAAATTCTCAGACCAGCCCGCCTAGCACCAACAACCATGCCATGTCCAAAGTCACTTAAATCCCCTTTCTTCCCCATTCTGATCCTCGGTTTGAACTTCAGCAAGTCGTCTTCACCGCGTCTAGATGCCTAAATGCATTGAGTTGCTGCCATGTGATTGGCCGATTAGCAATTTGTGTTACCAAGCAATCGAACAGGTGTACCTAATAAAGTTGCTGGTGAGTGTATATCTGCCTGGAGTTGCGCTTTAAACAATATTTTCTTTCATCTTCCTCACTCCCATGCTGCTTGCCCTGACCTCGTGCTTATATTCTGGTCCTCTTTCGTCTCCACCACATCGCAGCCTGCTCTGATGAGGTCCCCAGTACTGCTGCTTGGTCCAGTCCACACTGCAAACCATATGCTTCTGTGCTTGGGTCCACAGTCTCAATCTTTGGTCCAAATTACAGTTCATCTGGTACACTACTGAGCTGGGGTGTGCAGTCTCACTGCTTGGTGCAGTTGGCCATTCATCTGGTATGCTTCTATGCTAGGGTGTGCCGTCTTGCTGCTTGGTTCGGTTTGCTGTTCATCTGGTATGCTCCTGTGCTGGGGTGCGCAGTCCTGCTGCTTGGTCTGGTCTGTGGTTTCCTCCTGTATGGCACCAACAACCATGCCATGTTCAAAGTCACTTAAATCCCCTTTCTTCCCCATTCTGATGCTCAGTTTGAACTTCAGCAAGTCGTCTTCACTGCGTCTAGATGCCTAAATGCACTGAGTGGCCGCCATGTGATTGGCTCATTAGCAATTTGTGTTACCAAGCAATTGAACAGGTGTACCTAAAAAAGTGGCCGGTGAGTGTATTTGCTCAGTATTTCACTTTAAATCAAGTTCTTATTTAAGTTTTTAAAAGAAATTACAGTTAAAGTGTATGAAACTTGTTAAAAAAAACAACAATGTTTATACTAAAGAACAGGAGTCAGGCAGGAAACTCTGATGTGATTTTCAGTTGGGTAACAAAATGATAAAAATAGAGAACGGGTCGTCGCAACCATTACCGGGGCTGGAATAAAAATGATATCTCTTAACAGGTGTTACACTTGTTTTTATGTTATGTGTGAGCCTACGTTCTTATTCTCCTTTTATTTCTCTGTGTTCCCCAGCAGGATTAGATTACGGGTCTGCGATCGGGCCACGCAAACAGCTCTTGTCTTTTTATAAAAAATCAATTTATTTTTTTGATACCGGCTGCCAAGCCGGCTGCGGGTTTAATTCTCCCAGTTCCGAAAATTACAGTCTACTCTTCTTCCGGCAGGTCAAAGCAGAGCTGGAATTCCACGTTCTATGTGAGATGACAGCTGAAGAGCACTTTGGAATCACATTATCTTCAAGTACAGGGTTCTTCTGCAATTATTATTCCGTATTAGAAAGGCTGCATGGCCCATTTTTTTTTTTTAAACAGGGATGGAATGTAGATGGGTGCAGAATGCTTTATTAAAGTGGGCCTGTCATCAAATGTTGCTGGGATGTAGTAATAAAGGATACCAGGCTAAAATACTTACCTTTTCTGGAGAAAATGCTTCTCGGGGCTACCTCCAGTGTTGCTTGCATAACCAAAAGTCTGGGTATTTGGTCATGTGATCCTTGGTTAAGGGGAAAGTCACAGTGCAGGTTGAGGTGACCAGATCTTTGGGTATTACTGACATATCAAAGACTGCAAGGAGTCTGGAGCAGAATAATAGCAACTATAGCAAGGGCAGCCATACTTCAGCCCTCCTGATGCTCAAACGAAGTAACGCAAAATCCGAATCAAAACGAAACAATTTTTTTACTGGTGCACATGTCTACTTTAAAGGCTTCTTCACATCAATTGTGGTGCATTCCAGAGCGGTAGCTGCTGGAACGCACAGCAATTGCACAATAACTTTCCCCGTTCGTTCTGGGGCGGGAGGGGGCCCGCAGTGCGATAGGACGCCTGGCAAAACATTGCTTCCCTGGTTCATGTCTTTGGGTGGATTTATCTCCTTACAGGGTCCCATGGAGCCACCTTGGGCGTGCACACTGCTGACTCTCAATACAGTAGTCTATTTACGGCCAAAAGAAAGACAGCCCCTGTAGCCAGCCATTCCCCTGCTCTAAGCCAATGAGTGACACCAGGTGGATTCTGTGCTATCCCTAGAAAAGTGTGCATGTGAAGGGCACCAGTTACCCTAACCGGAAGTTCAGGTAAGCAGCACTGTGGACCCCACGGCAATAGTTCTGACAGCCATCCCTTCAATGAGGTTATTGCCTCAGGCAGCATCTCTGTGGGTCATATGGGGGGCGGCAGGGAGAGCAGCATGTTTGTTGTATAGTGGCCACTCTGCTGCACAATGCCATCTCTTTTCCGGCCAGAGCATCCCAGGTTGCTAAAAGGCAGTCAGGAAGATGTGTAAGGGCCATACATATCTCCCCGCCATTTTTAGCAACCTAAGTCGCAGTGAGAGCAATCATTTTAGGGCCATCAATCACTGATAACACTAAACTGATGAGCGGTAACAGCTTTTAAAGCATCGCCTATGGCCAATTTTGGGTATTATCGTTTTTTGAGGTTTCGCGCGCGCACGCAATTTTAAGGCTTGACATGTTTATTGTCTTTTTACCCGACGTGACCCCATATTTTATATTTTACCAAAAAATTGGGTAATAATAAATGTTTTATCATTTAATATAGGGGAAACTGTTTTTTTTTTTTAAATTTCGGTAATTTTTCCTTAATATAGTAAAAAAATAAAACCCCCAGTGGTGAATAAATACCACCAAAATAAAGCTCTATCTGTCCCCAAAAAAGGGTATAAAATTCATTTCAGTACAGCGCTGCATGACGGAATAAATGTCAGTTAAAGTACCGCATCGCTGAATACTGAAAAATGGCCTGGATGGGAAGGGGGTTTAACACCGCGGATGTCAACTGGTTAAGGTTGACATGTGTGATTCGTTTTGTTCCGAATTACAGATGTAACGAATTTCGTTAGCGGTAGTCTGTACGAAATGTTGTTTGTTGGACGAAATTTGGTTGCAGCAAAGTGACTTTAGAGAAAAAAAAAACAGATTTCGAACAGATTATCGCTAACGAATTTCGTCCGAATCCCGAAAAGAATTGACTTTCGGACCCGAATTCCGAAAAACGAAGTAACGCAAAATCCGAATCAAAACGAAACAATTTTTTTACTGGTGCACATGTCTACTTTAAAGGCTTCTTCACATCAATTGTGGTGCATTCCAGAGCGGTAGCTGCTGGAACGCACAGCAATTGCACAATAACTTTCCCCGTTCGTTCTGGGGCGGGAGGGGGCCCGCAGTGCGAACAGACGGCTCTCCTGCACAATGTTTGCAGTGTGCCTGCTACCCCCTTTCCAGCCAGAGCACCCCAGGTTGCTAAGAGCCAGGAAAGGAGATGTGTGAGGGCCATACACATTTCCCCGCTCAGCTCTTAGCAACCTAGGATGCTCTGGCCAGCGTCCCGCCCAGCTCCTGGCAATGCAATGCTGACAATGCATTTTAGTAAAACATGCTAAGCATTACCACTACTTTAACACACAATATACAGCATGTTAATTAGCATGTGGTAAGGCACCCCAGTAGAATGTAAAAGGTCCTTCATGAAAGCTGAATATTTAAAAAGATTAATAACAAACTTTTATAATTGCATAAACAGGTGAAGCTGAAATTAGATTCTGAGCCGACATGAGGCCTCCAATCACTTCTACTAATTTTTTGCCCAATTTTGTGTTATGCGAAGATCTTCTCCTTTAACGCCAACCTTGCAAAATGCAGATACTCATTGTTTTTGTATTCAGGCTGCCAATTGAATTTTTTTCCTTTGTTACATAAACAAGAAAACCTTGAATCCGTATTCCTCCAAGCTAAAGCGTAATACAACTAAGAGGAGTAGGAACGAGACGCATGGGTCACTAATGCACTTTTGCTGCAATAGACTGGCTATACCCATCCTTGGGGTTAAGTGGTGGAGCTTTTAAATATTTTACAATCGCAGTAACTCAGGGGTGGATGGTAAATTGCATGTCTCCTGATAAAGTGATTTGATCCCGATATAATGAAAAGGTTTTGGTTAAACCTTAGAGTGTATATCACCATCAATAGCTTGCTGGGGAATTGTGCTCGGGATATATAGTTCTGCCGTAAGAGCGTGTTCAACCCAATAAATTCAGCGCTGAAAGGATCTTTGATAACTTCATACTGGCATGTATCTGGGTGCAGGGAAAGGTGTCTGCTTTAAATAAAATTGCCAAGGGTTTATTTTCTGAAAATCGGGAGCTTCCCTAGCTGCTGCATTTAGATCTATCATATATTCTTAAAGTGGGACCTCAAATAGTACAAATTCATGTCATACATATTGATTACAAATAAATAAATAAATATATACATGTGTTTTTAAATGCAGCAAGTACCTGAATATGGGTCCTCCAAATATATTTGAGTTCAGATGTTTCCAGTGAAGGGCAGGGGCGTCCTGAGGCCGGGTGTCACCCCGCCATGTCGTCATTGTGCATGACGTCACCTTGCGCATGCGCACCCATCTGATTGACGCCTGCCGGCGGCCATCTTGTTGATGGACGCCGGCAGGGAGAGCAGGGGACGGTCATCCGGCGGGATGAGGTATGCCGCCGGGTCCCCGCCTCTCTCCTGACACTGTCGGGCACTCGGTCAGAGGGGGTGACTGCCAGTCATTTTGGTGTCACCCCTGCAATGGTGACACCCGGGTGTGGACCGCATCCCCCTTGTGACGGTAGCAGATGCCCTGTCTAAAATGTTTTTTTCTGTAAATGCAACATTTTTACATTTGATGAGTGTGCTCTTTGCATAAAAAAATAGAGATGTGAGGCACTATTGGGGTCCAATATTGCCAAGGATAACTGATTCGTAAAGCTCACTCACCCTGGTAGGGCAGCTCCCTTGAAGGTACCTTGGAAGGTACCCTAGGTAGAGTATAGCATTAGAGAATGCAATAACAGTGTTAGATAGAGTCAAAGAGTCCAAACATATTTGTAATTACTTCATCTTAGGATGACATAAAATAGCCAATGTGTTTTGGGGTCTTGGGCACTTCCCCTTCCTCATGTGTTAAAAGGTAGGACTCGAAGTGATTTATCAATGGACACTTGTAGGACCTCTAAAGTACATCCAGATTTGGGCTTCAATAATTGTTAAAGTGACACTAAACTCAGAAGTTAAATCCTAAAAATGCATTCAAGTCCCTTAACTCTGAACAACAATGTATCTTATTTGTGTATCACTCGGCTGTAGATCCTCAAATCATCTCTGAATTGGTGCCGACGCTGTCCTTCCTTCTGGAGGGGGGCTGCTTTTGTTCCTCATGGTCCCTGTGTGTGTTGTAAAGTAGTCACCGCTCCAAGCTTGCTCCTGTGATGGACTACAATCTCAATACAAATTAGTAAACTAAGCATGAGATTGTAGTCCATCACGGGAGCGAGCTTGAAGAGGTGACTACTTTACAACACACACAGGGACCATGGGGAACAAAAGTAGCCCCCCTCCAGAAGGAAGGACAGTGTCAGCACCAATTCAGAGATGATTGGAGGATCTACAGCCGAGTGATACACAAATAAGATACATTTTTGTTCATAGTTAAGGTACTTGAATGTATTTTTAAGATTTAATTCCTCGTCACTTTAAATTAAGTGACTTAAAGCCTAAAATAGAGCTGACATTTCTGCTCTGATGGGGAAAAATACAAGTGAATAACAACACACATCCCAGAGAGATAAAGTGCTAATAGAGTTTTAGAACGAGGTGCTAGGAGATGCCCTTCCTTGAATGGTCCTCTTTAGATGAAAAATGCTTCAATTTGACTTGTGTGCCCCTTTAATTTTAATAGCCGGCAAGTACAACGAACAACTGAAAGAAAAAAAATAAGTTTAATTCCCAGCAGTAAAGTAGCTTTTCAAGAATTACAATGTCATTAGCAAACATGGATTGGACATTGTCTCCGGTAGCCTCCAGACATCTGTTTTGTATTTTCCACAACATGGAAGGCGCTGACAAACCGCAGTCGTTTAATTTTAAACGGATTTATTTCTAGACGAGATTGTGTCTTCAGGAAATTCTCTCTGTTCACTGACAATATGTTTATGAAATCAGAGCAGAGCCAAGACTTACATTTACACTTCTGCGTCTTCCCCAATCAATATATTATGTACAGTGCAGGCAACAATTGCCAAATGCTTAACTACGCTACATGTTGAGGGTTTATATAATGAATTGGCCCTTGAGATAGCTACAAGGGAATTGTTTTGTGCATTCATATTGCTGTAGACTTGCAAAGCAGGAATTATGTGTTCTTTGTGAATCCATTGTGTCTTCACCGAGTTTGGTGCAGAGTCATGGTGAGGGAGAGTGAGCCATTGGCACATTGTCCACTTTGTTTTTGAAGCAGAATTCCAGGCAGATATAAAAGACACAAATTAATGCCGCTCTGAAATCATAACGTGCCCCCCCTTCCTCTAACCTTGAATGGTAGATACTATCCAATCGGCATTGATCCGGCCAAACAGCATAGAACCGGCATCCCAGATAATCAGGAAGCCGGGCGGTGGGTAATGACCCGCCCGCCGCCTTCCTGATTAGAGACCCGCTGCCTGGCTTCCTGATCTTTCTGATAGAGATGAGTGGGTCTCCACCTCCACCAGGATGGCTTATACAGAGTATTGGAATTCTGGGACTGACCCACAAGTCAATGTAGAGGTAAAAATATTTTTGTTTCCCTGCAGTCTCTGAACCATTTCCGTTATGGACACCCCTTATCTTTATCACTGGGGTGAAGTTGGAGCCAGTATGTCCATCCCCTATCTTTATTGCCTAGATGGATTTGGAGACAATATAGCCAACAACCTATCTTTATTGCCAAATGGATTTGGAGATAGTGTGGCTAATACCAATCATTATCATCTAGGTGGAGCTGGAAATAGTATGGCCACCCCCCTACATTTATCACCTGGGTGGAGTAGGAGATTGCATGCCCCCCCATTCCACCACAAGGTCCCCTGCTGCTAAAAGGGGCAGCGATCACTGGCCTAAGGGTCCCAAAAATATTCTTTGCTTAACAGTAAATACAGTAGATTGAAGCATCCCACCAATTAAAATAGTCCAGATACAACTTTTTTCCACTAGGGTTAGTGGACAATCGAGTAGAATAGGCTGCCTAACCAGCTGACAAGCCAAAAGCTTTCCCATCACAGCTCAATAAAAATTTCAACCTGCAGAGATTCTAGTCCACATACATGATTTCTGTCACCAAGCCCTGATAAAGGGGATGTTTTTGGACCCTAGAAACGCGTTGGCTATTCTACTCGATTGTCCATGACCCTAGTGGAATAAAATTAAATCTGGACTATTTTAGTTGGTGTGGTGCTTCAATTCTTACATCTTCCAATTGTGTCTGGGCAGATATGCTTATACCTGTGTCAGTATGCGTCTCTGTGAAGTCTCTGGTTAAGTCAGTACAATACTTAAAGCGGGCCTCCATGGCCAGTAACATGTCTGAAGTAGCTTCCATGAAAATTGAAGATCCGCACTGTTGAAAACCCCCACCCTGCAAAATCAGATTACCTAGAAGGGCATATCAAACAAAACTGTTAAGAAAAAAATACTTAACTCGGTCCCAGATGTCGCTCTGACCTTGGAGGGTGAGGACTTTGGATAGAGCAGACCTTCCCTTTTAATAGAGTCACTGCAGACATGTTGCTGGTCTTGTTAAGTTAGATTTGGTGCTGTATGCTATTTGTGTGGGAGTGAAGAGTCAACATAATGTAGCTAGTCTGGGCTTGGCTATCACATATAATATTGTTTCTGTAGCAGAAACATTTATATGTAGCCCATTATAAGACCCTCACGTACCTTCCATACTATAGAAGTTAAACTTACAGGCCTGCAGTTAGTGGGTGAAGACTTTGATACCTATTTAAATATAAGCACCACATTGGCCTTGCACAAATTCTTTAGCGGCAAGCAAGTCATTAAAGAGTCAATGAAAATTAGAAACAATGGCCTTAGTTCTTAAACACCCGTAGGTGTAAGCCATCTGGTCCAGGTGCTTTATACACATTTATTTTGTTGGTTTTTTTGGGACCATATCAGCTTTGAGCCATTGTGGTTCATTTAAGGCTTCAGTTCTGTGCACACTCCTTTGTGTACACAGAACTGAAGGCTTTATAGATTTGCCTTTTTTTTGTCCCCCGTGACCAACTTTGAGTTATCTTGTAATGGTCCTACATGCTAAGATCTGGTCTTTTGGGGGGGTTGTCTAGTTCTCTTGTACGACCTGTCTGCCTTTTATACATTTTCTGATTTCCATTTTACAACTTTTGTTGTATTCTTTGTGGCTTTCTGTGATGTTTTGGCTCGGTCCCATTACCTAAAATAAAGAGTCTTAGCACTTTCGACTCTTAATTCAATAATCAGATTTTGGTCGGACCTTCAAATTATAAGTACTTGGGATAGATACCTTGGTCTTCAGATGACGAGTTCCAGCATTTTGTACTCTTAAGTTAGCCATACACTGCTCCAAT